ATAAAGATTATTAAAATCTCTATTAGTAAACTATTTAATAATTTATATAAATATTTATTAAATTAAAGTATTACTAGTAAAAAAAGTAATATTTAAATATACTATATTTTAATATAATATAATATAATATAATATAATATAATACCTTATATATTAACTAAGGTAAATACTATTATAAGGTATTATAAAATACTAAAAATATAATATTTTTAAATATTTATTTCTTTATAACTATATTATTTTATTAATTATAAAATATATAAAAATAAAGTTTATTTAATTTTTTATTAATTTATTTATATTTATAGCTAACTAAGTCTTTATATATAGAGGAATAAGTATTAAAAAATACTATATTTTAGTGTGATGTAGTATAATATAGTGTGAATTATAAATTTAGAAATTCGAAACTAAAAAACAATAATGTAAAAGTTGGTATCAATGGTGCACCGTAGGTGTCCACTAAGGTAAGGGTGCCTACAGTGGGTGTATGTACGCTGTGGGTGCCTGCCTGACACTGTGATTCCCTGTATTAATTAGCGCCCTGAGGTGCCATATGTGATTGCCGGGCTTTACCTATCTCAACACCAACATAGGCGCCGCCACAGGGCGTCACAGGGCACCGAATCACGGCATGATTAAACGCTTGTATCTCAATAAATAGTGCTCTAATTAAGAAGTAGAAATGTGGAATGTCACATCTACAGAGAAGCGAACCAGCGTCGCGCCCAGCGTCCAGTCCTCCGGCGGCGCCGCTGGGCAGAGGTCATGGCTCGGCTCAGCGGCACCAAGGAGGTGGCACGAAATACGTCGTATAGCGACTACGGACTATCGTCACCCAAGTGAGATGCCAAAAACTCCAAGAACTCGAGCCTTACCAAGGACAGAGCTCCCAACGCCGTCCTTTGGCAGGTGTCGGAAAATAAGCTTGTCAAACGCGGAATAACGCCCGAAATACGTGTTGCAGCCCTCTTCACAAGACCCGGGCCATTATATAGTATCTAACGTGCTGTGATAAAGGTTGTAGCATACGCGAGCGGTGCTAGCCAGACAGCACATCGAGTCCCGCGCCGCCTTGACTATGATGGCAACGACAGCATCAAGTGGGCTGTGGTGGCGCTCCCCTCGAGATCGACCACTGTCATGCTCAAGGCCTCGTCATTGTCAAAGATGTCAATCCAGTCAACCTAGGGCAGCTCGTAAATCCCAAGGACAAGACGAACCTGAATCTGCAGTGGCTGAATAATTGAGATTGAGTCGAGACTTTTCTCTACCGGCCATATCATTCAATAAAAGATGACAGGGAGGCAGCTTGGCAGCTTGGCAGTTGGCAGTTGGCAGTTGGCAGTTGGCGTCTCTGGCTATACCTCGATCGAGTGATGAGCCTGCCATTGGTAATTTCAGCCAGATGCTTCCAGATCGCAGTGACGAAATCACGAGAGCGCCGACGACGAGCTAAGAATCAAGAAAAGGCGTGACCTTAATCGAGTTGCATCCGCCAAGGGCTGTCATCGGATCGGTACACCATAAGTACCAATACTAGGACAGTCGTCGTCGCCCAATATTGCAGCTTATGGGCGCCACTTTGCGGGGTGGCGTGGCGTCCCGCAAGGCGATTGCCGTCTTAATTGCGAGCTGTACGGATAACGACAAAATTCTGCACAGTCGAAATGGAAATCTTGGCGACGGCAGTTGAGAAGTGTGTTGTATTTGCTGGACGATACACCATGATGAAGCACCGGCGTGACTGCCACGCTTACTTATTGACTGGCTGGCAGACTATTCTTTCCTAGAGAGAGAGAGAGAGAGAGAGAGAGAGAGAGAGAGAGAGACGAAAAGGAAGACAAATACA